TTTTTAAAGGTAGTACCGGCTCGAAGCTTGTATCAATGTGGGAAGGGAAGCGCTGGCGGTGAGGGTTGCGGCTGTGGGCACGGGATAAGATGTCGCGGCAGGATATGAGTCCGGGCGAGGTCCCCGCCGAGGTCCCGGGGCCAAGCCGGGCTGGGCCGGGCCAGGCTCGGGTCCCCCGGATATGGACAGGACAGGGTCGCCCTCCGCTCCACGTGAGTATTGACACACGATGGGAAACGAAAATACTGTAGGAACCGCATGAGAGGATCCCCGTCGCAGCCGGGCTGCGCAACGCTACGCCACTCACATCCGATCTGCTCCCCCGTCGACAGTCGATATCACTGTGGTCATTTTTCATTTCAGCCATGTGTGTGGCCACAATGTAACCACAGAGGCGCATGCGGCCGCCGTCCGGTAGCCAAGGCCTCTGCGGCGTGTCGGAGCCAATTCGATTGGCACTCTGTCGTCTTTGTAATTGCTAAGCAGCGTCAGTTACCAAACATTTAACGCCCCCGCCGCCGCAACCCAACCCGCCGCCGTCCCGCCCCTCATGAGCCTCCTCCTCTCCACTCCCTGCTGGCCCGGCCCAGGACTCTGCTCAGCGCCGCCCCCCCCCCTCTCCAGCCGCGGCCAGGGGATGAGGGGTGGGGGGCGCGCACGGCTCAGGGCTCAGGGTGTTTGCTCGCCAAATGTTGATATTTTCGTAGTTGTTTTCAGCGACAACATTCACGCTGTTTGAGATGTCTCCTTTCGCCACCACTAGCGACACCAACGCCGAAGAGCGTCATTCCGAGCGCACGCCCCCCCCCCCCTCTTACACACACACACACACTCACCGCCTTGCTAGAGCGAGCAGATCACGCGGCAGATCTGAAATAAAATAAACACATGGCAGAAGGCTCCTTCTCAGCCAGGCCAGCCAGGCCGCTCCACCGCGCTGGTCCGCCGCCGGCAGCCTGCCGGGTAGGCCCGCCCGCCGCGCTCGCGTGCCCGCCCGCGGCCTACCCAGGCGGCGCCCCGGCCCGCGCGCGCCCCGCAACCGTTAGCAATCGTCCCCAGCAATGG